GTGGCCCGCAAAGCCATTCTATCGGCCCGTGGGGCCCCTAAAAAATTTAGAAAATTAATATTAATTTATTAGTCTGCCACGGGCTGCCTGTCATGTGGCCCTCGATGGCTTGCCAAAACTCAGTAAGCGGCACTCCACCCAAAATAATTGCCTGCCCCTGTGTTATGGCCTGGCATCTTACAGAACAAGTGGAATTGTATTGGTAGTAGATTGAAAGACAAATCACAGTGTTAAAATGCAGCGTGCTACGTAATAATCAGCGTAAACTTTATCCTATTCTGACACATTTGGGCTGAGATGCTCAAACCACTTGTGGTTTCCAGTTTCTGCAATTCTGAAAGTCTGTCAAGAATGTTTGGTGTGGGTTTAAGAAACACAAGACAAAACAAACCAGAAATGGCAGGATAATTTTCCTAAATACTAAAATACATATGAAGTTTAATTATATACTGGCATGACATTTTTGGGACGTGTTCAGAAGAATATGCTGTGTGCTATGTAGGAGAAGTGGTGGAAGAGGGCTGCTTATGCTCCATCATCTAACCAATACGTTGGAGAAACAGCATCTAAGGAGAGACCTATAGATCTGAGTGCAGGCAAATTCAGTATATTCCAGTTTAAAAGGGGACAAGCACTTGTGTTGCCATTTTCTCATACTCCTCCTTCACCTTGTCTATAAGGAATTTTGCTCAGGTTTAAATAAATTGCTTTAAAATCACACCTTTAATTAAATTAATTGTGGACTGCATGGAGATGAAGCCATTGTTTTTAGTCACTTTAAAGCATCCTCTGAGCCGTTATTTCTTCAGAGCTGGCAGTTGGATTTTTCTGTAGTCGGAAATGAGGACACTGAACCAGGCATTATTCACAGAACATATTTATCCCCAATAAAGGATTGTAGTTACTCATAGTTCTTTATATCCCTTCTCAGGGACACAACCGTGATCAGCCACTCACCTAATGCTAGCTATGACACCTCCCTGGAAGCTCGCATTCAGAAGGAAGAAGAGGAGATCCTGCTGGCTAACAGGAGGTGTCTTGACATGGAGGGCAGGTAAAATGCAGCTCATTCTCTACAATTGGATGGATTCTTTACAATTGCAAGTTTATGTTAACTGTCGAGCTAGATGACTGGGAGTCATGACATTGGTTGTTGTGACATGATCATTAATAGCAATGAAGTATGCCAGGACATTGGGTTGTGCTTTCTTGCTTGAGCAAGGCAATGCATTGTCTTCAGTATTGAAAAAGGTTGGATTTCTGAGCAAAAATATCCTCTCAGGTACTTATGGATAGGGGGTTGTTTTTTGTTTTTCTCCATTCATATTTTCCCTGCTCTTCCCTTTCCTCTTCACCACATTCATATGGGCACATTTGTTTAATACTGAGCTTAGATCTTTTTGCTTCTGGGAATCTTTATTCTTGTATTTGGTATGGTGTAGATTCCCTGAGGTGACTGTCTTTCTCACCCTTCTCATTCCTGACCATAAGTTTCAGATCTAAAAGCTACAGCCTCTTCAGCAACTGCTTCCAGTAGCCCAAGGTAAGGTAAGCAACTAGGTCCATGAAACTCTCCCCTGTGTAGAAAGGCTTATGCACACAATCTGCCTCTGGGCTGTACTTGGGACAGCAGGTATTGGTGTTCAGGTTTGTTAGCTCAGATGGATTCTCCTACAGTGGATTTGAGGCATGGATCTGATGATACCATTTTTTGTTCTTCTCCCAGGATAAAAACACTCCATGCTCAAATCATTGAAAAGGATGCCATGATTAAAGTCCTTCAGCAACGTTCTCGGAAAGAGACCAGTAAAACAGACCAGCTCTCCTCGATGAGACCAGCCAAGTCCCTCATGTCAATTTCCAATGCTGGATCAGGCTTACTGTCCCACTCCTCAACGCTGAGCAGCACTCCCATATTGGAAGAGAAGAGAGAGGACAAAAGCTGGAAAGGCAGTTTAGGTAACTTTATAAACAGCAGCAAGAGTTATGTTAGAGTTCTGTCTAAACCACTGTGTAAGCCAGCACGCAGTGAAAGGAGAACATACGATCAGCCCTATGATAGGCTTCAATTATGCATGATGCTGCCTTGCAGCCTGTTGACTCTTATGCACTAAGCAAAAATGTATTGGATGGAGCAAACTGAGAACAAGTATCTTTTAGGGGTAGAGTTCCCCAGGTGGGAGTGGCGATGCTTGGTTCTAGTCCAGGCTCTACTACTAAAACCCTCTTGGACTCCTGCCTTGAAGGGCTCAGAACTGAGATTTGGGGACAGCGGGTTGCAGTAGTGTAACTAGGGATGGGCGAGTAGGGCAAGAAGAGTAGCAGCTACTGCCACAGCCCTAGCTATCACTGCTGCCCAGGGTGCAAAAGCTGCCTGTTACACCTCAGGAAGGTTGTAAAGAGGCAAGTTATAGGTAATTTTCGGTTGGCTTTGGGCCTGCTCCTCCTGCCAGTGATTTTAGCACAGACTCTGGGCCCAGTTCCACCTCCAGGTGATAAAAATGGAAGGGGTTTTATGATATCAGTGTAAGGATGAGTGAGAGGAATAAGGAAAGGGAGTGGGAAGTGGGTAGGGAAAGGAAAGCAGTCTGTCTGGTGGCTAGAGAAAAGGCAAGTGAGAAATAAGTGTATTCCAGTACTGCCACCATCCTGTTACCGGGTCTGGAACGTGAGACTAGGGCTGTCCTTTGTGAGCACTTTGAGACCCGCAGATGAAAATGCTATGGAAGTGCAGAACAGCACTACTGCAGGAGCCTGTACTACGGCCCTTTGAGCCTTGATGCTATTTATCCGGAAACACTTTTTAATCTGCTTGGCTGTCTTTCCCTGAAGGTGTTCTGCTGGGAACAGAATACCGCTCGGAGTCCATTCCTTCAACCCCCTCGCCCGTCCTCCCCTCCACCCCGCTGCTGTCTGCGCACTCGAAAACAGGCAGCCGGGACTGCAGCACTCAGACAGACAGGGGGAGTGACCAAAACAAAGCTGCTTCTTCTGCCGTGGCCCCTCCTCAGGGGCGACTCCCTAGCACCAGCCTGGCCTACAATTCAGACAAAACAGGTAATGGGCCCCAATGGGTCTCCTTTAGAGCGCTCGTGTTATTTCATAGTGATTGCTGCTGCAATGTTAACCGCTGTGTAAAGGCTTCTGAGGTTGTCAGAAGTGTAGACTTTGCTGTTAGCATGGTGATGTGGGTTAGATGGTTATCACAGTGAAGTTTGGGGGCTAACCCCAGAAGGCAAGAAGTGGAGGGAGTGTTTGGGGCCACTCCTAGCCAGTGCATGTGTGAGAGTTGGCACTGCTCTGCCTTAGGTCTGGGCAGAAAGGGGTAAAAAATTGTCTTCAGAAAGAAGTCAGTGCTGGGCAGATGGTCAGATTCAGTGATGAGACAGATGGTGTAAGTGGCACATTGGGTGTAAAATAGCTCTAAATGGGTATTGGAGCAAGTAGTGTAACCTGCAGCAATTTGGCTTTTGAGCTGCTGTGCAAAAGCCAGTGTCAGTAGGTGGCTCAAGGTGGGTGGGGCAAGAAAAGCAATTGACAGGGTGAAGCTCCCCGCTTTACAGTGTCTCTACATTCACTCCTGGAAACAAAATGAGCACCTGTATAAGTGAGTCTAGCAGGCAGTGAGAGTTAGTGGGAAGCCATATTTACTTCTGAAATAATTCCAGTCTGCGCTCCCATTTCCATAGTCCAGTCAGTTTCAAATTCAGTGCAAGCAATGTGACTTTGCTTCTCATGTTTTGTGACCACTTTGTACCCCACGTGGAATATATGGCCTTTCTTAAATCGGATGAATTTGAGCTCTCTGTGTGCATTTCATTCCTGTAATTTTATTTAGTGCCCATCAAGAGAGACAGAGGGACAGAGTACGATCTCTTTTAAATGGATATAAATCCGTGACTGTACCAGATTTCATATGTAGTCATTAAAATCAAAAGTGAATTGTAACATTTATAAGTGAGATACTTGAAGAGAATGAAAGAACTAGAGGCAGTATTTGAATTAAATGAATAAAGTGCCTTCTGACCAGGGGCACAGACCAACTTTCCAGAATGTGGAGGGAACTCTACTGCCTTAATCATGTCTTCACTACACTTGGTGCCTGCAGTTGGAGTTAGAGCTAGAGCTTGATTCTTTCCATTTTGTTTCCTCCTCTTAATATAGATGGGCCAGTTTTCCACTCCAGCACTCTTGAAAGAAAAACCCCAATTCAAAGCCTGGGGCAGGAACTCACTGATGCCGAAATGGTGGAATACCTCATCTGAAAGGCAGACCTTGCATTGGCGCTGGGACACAATAGCAAGATTTTTTTTAAAAAAAAGACATTTTTATTAAAGGGGGAGGGGGGAATTCTTGTACCTGAGTAATAAAGGACCACTCAGATCTTCGCTCTTGTATATTATGTCTCAAAAGTGTGGACAGGTTAATTTATAATTTGTTCTAAATTATAAAATACTTGTTCTTTGAAAGTTCCTTCCATTCTTTTTAAAAATACTGGATCTAGTAATATCCCTCCCCTTTTTAAAGTACTGGATCTGGTAACTGGAGAAAAACCAAGGTCTTAAATGCACTAAATTTTATTTTTAATTTCAGTATTTTTAAAATCTTGTGAGGTTTTTTTTAAAAGTACTTATTTCACAGCAGTTGGTTAATTGTTTAGCTTAAATGCAACAAGATGGATGTAATGACTTGACAAGTGTGTTCGACACCAGATCACACAATGACATTGTAAAAACCAGAACTAGTTTGTGGTGCTTTGTTGTGTGTCACAACTTCAGAATGCAGATATTTTTGAGTTGCTTAGGGAGATGTCTCTCTGTTGCCCTCAGTGGTAAGAAGTCATCATGGCTATTCCATACTCCAGGGCTGGGAAGATTCAGTTTGTGTGCCCACACCAAAACATTTTTGTACTCTTAATCCCATTTTTAATAGCTCTAGTTTTTAAAATGTCAAATATGGCATTTAATCTATGTCAGAGGAGTCCCTGTATTATCAGACATGAATACTTCAGAGTGATTTATGCAGTGGATAATACAATGAATATTAGCAACTCAGTATACTGCATTAAACCTCTATGGAGATCTTTTCTCATGGCAGACTTTCTTCTGTTCCAAATCCCTTTCCAGTTGGTCTGTCTCTCCTTTCATCAGGTAAGAAATTCCCTTTCATCCAGGGAAATCGCAGTTAGGGTCTCACCCAAGGTTAAAGCTCCAGTATGTTATTGCCAAAAGTTTTACATTTCAAATATTGCCTTCCCCCACCTAACAGGGAAAAAGCAAGAGTTTTTTGTATTCAAGTATTGTAAAATGTTGCACGTTTCCTACTAGTTTCTAGTCAGTTTCACTTCCCAGTTGAAATTGCAAAAGTTCTTGGCACTAGGGTCACAAGTGCTGCAGAGGTACAGTTAAACTTGGAAAACATTGTGGAGGGTTTTAAAAAATTTTATGGGCAGACTTTTGTTCTTAGTTTGTATTGAAAGTTCTGGTTTTAAATGGCATCTTTTGCCATCTAACAAGGCAGTTTAAAGCAACCTAGCTGATCCCAATGTTCCCTGCCTTATTTATAGTAGCCAGATTTTGCCATGGAATGAAATAGCTTCAGGTGAAAACACAGCCTAATACCGCCATATCCTGAGCACCCTGTGCGTGGACAATACTTGGAATCTTTCAGAACTAGGCCCAAAGCACAAGGGGCGTACCGGGGGTGCAGAATCATTCCCCATCAGTACTCTGTGTTGCCTCTAACTAATCCTCTTTAAAGAGAACTGAAGGAAATAGCCTTAACAGCTTAGTGGAAGCAGCATGCATTTTACTGGGGAGCTCATGTGGGTTCCAGTAGGTTAGGTGCTTGCTAAGGTTAAATCAGTGAGCATTCTCAGAACCGTAAGAGTTAACAGTGGGTCTAGGCTCAATATCCCTATTGACCTCTTTTCTTCTGAGCCTGAATACAGCCCCTGTGCAGGACAACGCAAAGCTGTATTTTAAAAAGCCTGGTCTCATCTCTGCCCCATAAATCACAGGCTTTTTTCTGGTCATAGTAGGATTGATCCTTTATTATTTTTTCGAGACTATTGTCTCTCCCCTTCCCAAGAGCCTCCACAGCCCATAACGGTCTATGTTGGGAATAGCATATATTTGTTTTTTTCTTTGCTTCATTTCATATCATTCTGTTGAGTAAGACCTAGTCTGGATAAACCTAAGCCATCTTTCTCCTTCCTTTGTAATCACTAGAAACATAGCAGCTAGGCCTTTTTGCTAGCCACCTTGTCCTTCCAGCCATTTCAGGATTGCTTTTTATCACACAGTTTATGGGTTTAAAAAGAATGAACAACAAATGAGATTGAGTGTGTATAGGTGAGAGAGAGAAATTCAAGGTGAGAAGTACAAGTATTTCCTTTGCTGTTTCAAAGTTAGGGGAAAAAAATCAGACTATTATGTCTACCAGCAGCTGGAAAGGTGTTTGATAGCTTGTGGGAGTGCTGCTTCTTCCACCCTAACTCAACTGAGCTACACAGGAAGGAGCTAGATCATTTAGGCAGGTATCTGATTTTGGAAAACTGGATTTTCTAATCAGTGTGTTGATGGTTGAAGTGGACCAGTCAATCATAGTATGTACATGTGCATACATGTATGTACATCCTTTTTTCAACTCATTGATGGTAAACAAAATTCCATTTTATTTAAGATAATTAAAAAAAGATAGAGGCTTAATAGCTGTAAGATGTACAGCACAAACTACAAAAACCTCAGTATCAAGTGGTTGCATTGGCAGTTCTCTACAAAGACAAATGAGTTTGGAAGGAAACATCACCCACAGTTTCACATTGCTTTGACCAATTCCTTGCTTTCATGCCTTACTTTGTAGGGTTGACTTCATGAGTTAAGTTCCCTTCTTCTCACCCTATTCAGCCCTTAAGAGGAAGAAAACAGAAAAGCAGCCTGAAAAAAAAGTCTTGTACAAGTTGGGAATTTGAAAGCATTGTGTGGCTGATAAACTAGGAACCATCAGAAATAGGTGCTTCTCTTAGGACTTCCTAAAACAGTCCTGCTGTGAATCTAAAATTGCTGCTTTCATTTGGGGGGAATTGTGTAATATAGTTTTCAGTTTCTTTCTATAGACTTTTTTCTCTTTTGAAAACAAAAATCTACTTAAAGCCAACCTGCATGCCTAGCTCCTTTCTGTCTATAGACTACTTGCTTCTAGGTATAAGTTTAAAATGCAGCATAAATTGCAAGGACCTTCATTTTTCAAGCCAAACTTTTAGACTAAGAGTTGCCTTAAACTCGGGTAATTAGAAGCAGAATTGCAGCTTTTGTAAGGAGAGCCACATATTCCTCTCAGAGAGCAAAACAAGAATCAAGTTCAGTTTATTTTTTTTCTCCTTTAAATGCTCATAGAGTGGCCAATCCAGCAAATCCTTTCCATTGGGAACACCATTGAGATTCAGTTGCTCAGAGACATACGATAAAGAGTCTTTCATGGCTATATTCTTTGTTCTGATCTGACCCAGTGTCATCACTAGTGATTTTAAATAGCTCCCACCAGACACTTCTGTGTTGACCTAGATAGAATCATAGAAAAGTAGGGCTGGACGGGACCTTTAGTCCAGCCCTCTGCTCAAGGCAGGATCATCCCTGACTTGACTTGGTAGGTTCTCTTGAGAGCTGCCTGGAGGGGGAGGTTCGCAAGACAGGTCAAAAAAAAAGTTACCAACAATAGTTCATGGTCTAGGAGCCCATGCAGATAACTCAAATTCTATATAAAAGATGTGCATACAGCTGTGTTGTGCGCGCCAAGGTAATGCTACAATAGTCTCTTAAGAAATCTGTACAGTGAATCCTTTCACCCAGGGAAATTGCAGTTAGGGTTTCACCCAAGGTAAAAGCTCCACCATGTTATTGCCAAAAGTTTTACGTTTCAAATATTGCGTTCCCCCACCTAATGGGGAAAAAGCAAGAGTTTTCTGTATTCTCAAGTATTGTAAAATGTTGCAAGTTTCATGCTAGTTTCTAGTCAGTTTCACTTCCCAGTTGAAATTGCAAAAACAGTAACCACCAAAGAGAGTGGTCTTAATCTGCTTGCTACAAGGCCGGCAGTGTAACACAGTGCAGCTAGCATGGAGGAACTTTTATGGGTCCTTTAAATTTGACAACCTCCCCCCCATGAATACTGGCAAACTATAGCACAGGATTCACTGTACTGCTACACCGTGTTGAATGTTTTTGCTCCAGATGGGGTGGGGGAGGGGAAGGTTCCCTTTTCATGTATTTGTATAGGAACTTTTTAAAAGAAGTTAGCATTTGTAATGTCTAGAAGATAAAAGACATAGCCAGTGTAACTGTACTGTATTTATGAAAAAATACACATCTTTTCATAAAGATCTTACTCTAGGGTGGTTTTAGTCTTTGATTTCTAATATTATTTCTTAGGCTTGCAGAAGAAACATTGAAACCTAGCTCTCTTTTTCACTTGTTACATTCAGTGTAAAACCAGAGGTGAGCTAAACACCTGTGGTAAATAGGAAACCTCCTCCTCCCTTTTAATTTAAAACAAAACACACTTGAGTTTCAGTTCTGACATGTTTGAATGAGTACATTTTCATTCCCCTCCTATTTCTGGCTGGGACCAGAAGCAGGGGTGTTGAAGTAACTTCAGAAACTATGCTTGGGAGACTTGTCTGGTGAAGTTCAGCTCAGCACCCAAAAAAAAGTTGTCTTGATGCTTGTCAAGACCTTTGGAGATTTGTCTCGACATAGCCTGTTCTCACAGCTGCTGAAAGCAATGGCAAAATGCCCATTGACTCAAGTGGTGAGACACAAAGCCCTTAAGAAGAGGTATCCTTTCCTCTGACTTCACTCCTGTAGTTCTCTCCCACTTGTAGGAACTATTAGGTGGAATAACATTTCATGATTGTTTGGTTTCCCTGGAGTTATGATCAATAGGGAAGAGCCAGACAAAAGTGACCAATGTGGTGCTTATTTTGACTATCCAAAATATCAAAGAAATGAATTGAAGTCAAGTTTCTTATTTAAAAGCAACCAACCTTAATTAGAAAATAGTCTTTTCTATATAAATCTATATTAAAACAAGCTAAATGGTTTTTTTTTCATTTTTGTTTAAACTGTCAAGTTGATTTAATAAGTTATGGAATGAGCTGTTTTCTAATACAACTATTGAAATATCCCTAAAACATCTTTGCAGAATGTGGCAGCTTTAATCCTAGAAAAAGTGTAAATATGCGCTATGTGTCTTGTGAATGTCTGTCATCATGTCTGTAGGTAGCCATAAAATATCTTGTGTGTTTTCTAAAAGTGAATCTTGTGTTTTGAATGGTTATTATCATCATTGTGGGCTTGCTCCTTCCCCTCTTCCTTTCTTTTCTTTTCTTTTTTTTTTTTTTAGTGTAAAGACTTATTCTAACCCACACAACGATATCAGATATGCATCTCATCACATGTTCACAGGAGTCTCTGCAGAATCTGATGGAACGTACATTAGGATGAAAAATGGAGGTGAAAAGAAAATATATCAGTTTTAAAAAATGGACACATTTTTCATGAAGTTGGGGGAAGAAAGTTGATTTTTTTTGTTGTTGAGATTTTTGAATAACCTTTTTTTCCTTGTTAACATTTTGACAGCTGAACTTTCCCCAACTAATTCTGTACCTCCTTGGAAGACAAAAGGACTTTTTTTTTGCAAAGAAAAAATGTCATTATTTTTTTTCCATTGAACATTTTTAAACATGTAGCATTTTGAAAAGCACTAATGATATAAAATGCTACTGCCTTTGATTGTCTAATTTAAGACAAGAACAGCTGTCTGATTTTTCGGAATATGCTAAGCACCTATTCTTTGGGAATTGGACTCGGTGCCTGAAGAAACCCACAAATCAAAAAATTGGTTTTTAGATTTATATCCTTCCATATCCAAGAGGCTTAGAGCACCCTAGGCTAAGATGTTGGAAAATTTCATCTGAAATGAACGACATGATTATCACCACATGAACTTCAAGCATAGTTTGCTGCTTTGTTTCTTTCCCTTTCTCCGCCCTGTCTTAGGAGTATTGATCACCTGGCACTGAGTGTCTAAAAGTCAATATACTGGTCAGCAGTAGTTTCATACATAAAAGCCACATCAGCAAAAACTAGGGACCAAAGATTAAAGTTATAACAATTATCGTCCTCACTTCAGAAATTGCAGTGGTGTTTTTAGTTAGTCTGTCTTCCCTGCCAATTTATTTGTCTTGATTGTTTAGCTAGATAATCCATAGATAGCTGCAAGGGCTCGGTGTAGTTTTTTCTTTTCTTTTTTTTTTAAATAGTGCAAATGCAGCCTGTCGACAAATGGCCTTGCCAGTATATTTAAACATTCTGCAAAACCTGGTTTATAGTACAGTGGGCCAGTCATTTGGATGTGCTCAAACATGTAGTTGCACGAGCCAGCATCCATGAAGGATACTATGGAAAGATTTACAGTGCCTGTAATGGGTCTTTCGTCAGGACACTCGCACAGATGATTTTGGTTTGTTTTTGCCCTTACACTGTTTTGTATTCACATAGCAAGTATTTTAACAGACCTGCTTTGGCACACATGTGCACAATATGCTTCCCAGCCATCACTATTCCAGTTTGACATCTTGAAGCCCAACTGCCGTAGTACTTAGAACTGCTACGTGGGAGAAGTGTCTTTGGAGAAAGCGTCAAGGATGTATTTTTCCTCTCCCTGCTCATTCATTCTTGATGTGCTTAAAAAGAAACTAAATCTCATTTTATTTTTTATTGAGGTTTGAAACGCCTGTATTCTTAAATGAACAAAAAAAAAAAAGCCTCCAACACTTTGGGCCATTGTTCCCTTGGCCTGTGTGTAACTTCCATTAACAGTAAAAAGGGTTTAATGATGTAGCACAGTGCACCCAGGGAGGGTAGAACATGCAAAGCACTGATAATTCTTTGGCTAGTGTACATGACAGTATTCTTTAAGGGAAATCATTTCTTTCCGCTGAGTTAAGAGCTATGTTTCCAAATGTGGCCTGGATTTAATTTTGAACATGGCAACTTTCCAAACGTAATTATATTGTACTACTAGTTTGATTATTTAAAGCAGATTTAAAGCAAATATGAGCAAAATGAAACCCCCCTCCCAACCTCACACCCACAATTGCATTATATTTTGACTCTTTTAAATACCTCCTTTCACCACCTGTAGAATCTTAGCATCTTTTACATGAAAATATCCTGTAACACCTGTACAGATCATCTAGGAATATATTAAAAAGGATGACAACTAGAGACTATTTGGTTTTCAGCTTCCAGAGACCCTTAAAAAAGAGAAGCAATAATTACATGCAAGTAAGTGTGTGTTTGTGCATCAGTGAGACAATCTTCTTGTTTGTATTGTGATGGAAAGCTGATAAGCAAAAGACTCCAGAGAGAAATAGAGTGTGTGTCACTCTTGTTGTAAGCAATCCTCACTGGGTGTAAGCAAAATGGCTCCTTTCTTCCCTTTCTCCAGTAAATTTTACAATAATTGGTTTTATAAGAGAAGAAATATTTTTCCACCACACTGCTTTTCTGTGCCTGTGCTCAAGAACTGGAGAATCAAATACTGTCTGTGGTATGTTTTCAGTTGTATCTTTATTTCAGAAGTATTTCTTTTAGATGTTTCCTCTTCCTTTCTCTTGTGCATTTACAAGAGTGCAACAAGGATATTGGACAGGAATTTAGCTAAGCAGGAAATGTTATTTGAAGGCAAAATAACCATTTAAGGGCAGGGATATTGCTGGGATTCAAGCTCTAAATGTAACCCTGGGTGAACTGGATATTTTAGCTAAGATGTTTATTGGATAATTACCAGTATTCAATACGTGTAGTTATCAGGCTTCAAAGTCAATAGATCCCTGGCATAAAAGAGAATAGGCCAGTCCTTTGAGATTTAGGGTCTGGCTAATGGATCTGTTCTATTCGGGTCCTTGTGTACGTACTGCCATAGAATGGGAGCATGCACTCAGTACAGCAGCTCTGCTACCTGTTCACTTTCCATTTTGGAAAATGTTGCTCTTAAAATAAAAGGGCAAAAAACTTATGTGCATCAGTTGAAACTTATGATTTTCAGATGTCAACAGACTTCCTGGAGAAGTGTGGATATACAACATTGATCCGCAGTGGCTCAGGTCAGACCTCTGTGGACAAGCATGGCACTTGCACAGGATAAGCTCTGGGCAGGGAAGGGATAAGTTTAGTCGGGCCACATATTCTCCTTTTACTCTCAAATGTCATGGGGAGGTTCAGATCCTTCATCCTTGTGAGAAACCAATAGATCTTACACACTTCTATTGGCCTCTGGGAAAAGCATCCCTCTCCATCCACACTACAATACTGTCAATATACAGCCTTCTTCCACATACAAATGTCTGAGTATTCAAACCAGAAATTCCATCTCTGGTTGCCATGGAAAGGAAAGGTTTATTTAGTCCAACCAATTTGCACATGTAGGCCATGGTTAGAGCTTTGTAACAGAAAAGTCCACCTAGCTCAAGAGAGCACTTTCCATTTGAGGGGTTCATGTGCTGCTCCCTCTAATCAAACCCAAGTCTTGGCCCTTAAGAGACAACTAGCTGCTTGTTTGCAGGAAGTGTAAAAAAAAAAAAAAAAAAAAAAAAATGCTTGGCTAAGTTTGAGGCAGCATTACGCTGTTGTGGCAGTGTCGGAGTCCTGTGCTCCTTGGCCTTATGCAAAGTCACTGCATTTGGGGGTGAGTTGACTGACTTGGATCAGGTGGATGATAGTATTCTTGCACAAATGTGTTCTAACGACGTGTGGCACCATGAGATCTTTGAAGAGAGTTGCCATCTCTCTCCCTACACATCATTTTTTAAAGTTACCTCTGTTAATTGAAATTGAATTCTCAATTAGGAGGTTAAAAGAATGTCTCTCACCTGCAAACATTTGAGGACACTACTGAACCTTCTGCAGCTCCTGAGAGCTTTTCTAGCTGGAACTATTTACTAATTAGGTGAAACATTGAGATGAAATCTTGAGCTCTGGTAAGCGCCCACTCTTGAGTGAAGGCAAAAGGAGTTAGAGTTTGAAACACATTTCCATTGGTTTACATATTGCAGTGAAGCTTTTGGGAACTGCAACCCAGATCTGAATGAGGTCAGGAGACTGGATAGATTATGAGCTCCTCTCCCTTTACAGTGCTGTTTAATCAGAAGTGAAAACTTAAAATATAAAATCTCTCAGGAGTTGTTTAAAGAAAATTTGATTATGGTTGCACAATTAGTTTTTGGGTGGAAGATTCAAGGAATATTACTTCCTGGAAAACACCCATTCAGTGGGAAGTAAGGATGACATCTTCTGTGTATTTAAGTCTAATTTTCATGTTTCCATATCTAGCCCAGATGCAGGGACAGCCCCATGCAATAACAGAAGGTGGGGAGAAAAAACAGAAGGCTCAGGGGTTTCTTAATCAAAACCAGTTTTCTCCCTTTATGTACTAAAATCCCTTGGAGATATGGCACTCGTAAGTCTACTTGCCTGACTTGAAGCTATCTCTGGGGATTTCATGGAGCAGCAGTGTAATTGCATCATGCCATATAAAAATACTGGCGCTTCCCAAATACCAAGTAAACAAGGTTCCTAAACCTATTAGGCAATTTGTTATCCTGGTTTTTCAGGTGGGGAAAAGCAAAGGCAGAAGAGGTTGAAGTCTGTTAGGCACAGCTCATGAGCAGCAGATCTGGGATTAAAGCTCAAGAGTGCCTGATTCTTAGCTCTGTAGACCAAGCCTTCCAAGTTACTATAGTTAAACTTGTTCTAGCCTCTTCTGCTTGGCTTGTTTGCCAAAGATTTCCATACTCTGAGCCCACAGATGAAGCCTGTTCTCTACATGAGAAAGCCCTGGCTACAGCAACTCATGTTAACTCAGAAGTATTGCTACATCAGCTGGAGGAACTGCATTTCTGCCCACAGCTATTGTTCTCTGCTTAGATTGCTATCACTTTACTTTTAAAGAAAAGAAAAAAAAAGCCTAAGAATACATTGTAAAAATAAGATTAAACTGGTGCACACACAGGCTAAGGAAAAGAGTAGGTGGATATTGAGAAGTCCCTTATTGCAATGTAGACCTACTTGGCTTCAAGAGGCCAGCCCATGTGAAGGATGGTCTTCCTGGATTTGGCAACAATATATGCTTTCCTGCTAATATCAAAGCCTATTTGAGGCAAAGTAGGACTGCCCCTCCCAGTCTGTTGCTAGTACAACCAAGTAGAAGGTTATTTAAGAAACTACACCCTGCAGCAGTGACTCCAAGTAGAAA